GTTTTGGTGGATGGCCTTTGCAATAGATCACCACTGCAAAAGTGGGAAGCTTTTGAAGATGGGAAACTTCCGAGGAGAAGCAGCTGTGGCTCTCTTGATTGTTTTGGTGGTGGTGGTCGCTTATCTACAGAATCAACTGAGGGCTTTTTTGTAAATACTGGAGGGAGCCCAATGATGGAGACCCATCTTGAGGGTGGTGAAGATTAGTTCGAGTTTTTAGGTATTCGCAATCTTTTCTTTTCGTGTTTAAGGAGATATGCACACAATTTCTCAATTCTATTGGTTTTATATATATATATATATATATATATATCTAGTTAAAAGGGTCCGTCCTCTACTTCTGTTTTGATTCATATACGTCAAAAACATCACCACATTAGAAAGTAAAAGGAAAATATTGAAGATTTTCCATTAATTGCCTGAAAACTCATTAACAGTTTGAGAGTTTCTGCCATTTTTTATCCTCTACATCCCTCCCCCAATCCAACTGCACTCCAACCGTCACCATCATCATCTCTCTCTCTGGGGAAATTGGCAGCAGGACATTTCTGCCCCTGCTGATGCCTGCTGTCATGGCCGTGATAGCTGTATCATTGGCCTGCTTATTTGCCATACACTCCCATATATAATCCATATTTTGCTAAGCAGATCCCTTTTGTTCAGGTATGTATTCTCATGTCCACAGGTCACCCCAAAACAAATGGAATGAAAAAAAAAAAAAGGAAAAAGAAAAAGAAAAATTAAATAAAGAGAGCAACTGTGGAGAGCTGGTGAAGCTGCATGTACTACTCATGTGCATTCTTTTTCTATTTTTTTGTTATTTTTGCAGGAGAGCATTAATATGACGATGAAGATGGTGATCACATTCATGTGGGATCACATTCATGTCATTCATGTGGAAGAGGGTATTGATTGCGAAGCAGATGGTACTGGGTTTGCTGTACATACAGAAATGTGAAATATTGTCTATTTATATTATATTGACTTGCATGTAAATAAGCAAATTGTTTTCTCTCGACTAATGCTATCTTGTATAGTGGTCTTGCGGGACCCTTTGTGTGGGGGTTATTTGTTGAAAATGGAATGGTGAGAGAAATCCATGTGCCCACCAAAAAGATATTTTTTTTTTTCTAAAGTTCATGTACGTTATGTTTTATATTTATCTTTTCATGGAGATGATGTCATCAACCAAGTAAGCATGGGCTCTTCCGTTGTTAGTGGCACCCCATGCATCGTTCCATAAAGGTGCTACTGACAGACCGGTGGTTGTACCAGTGCCACTGTGAATTTGGTTTCCAACTGCCCGTGCTTATTTAGTACTGGATCAATGAATTCCACATCAGGAAAATAAACAGGCAAAATACAATAAGCTCGACGAGGTTGCAGTGGCAAAACTGCACTCATTCGCCATTCAATTAATTGGTCATAAACACAGATTAGAGCTCTATTTTGGTTGGATCGTGCAGTTTTTGGATATGATTATTTGATACTCCAAACAATGATTGAAACCACGGAGTGCAGTTCTTCAGTATAATTTTTTGCTACTGCAAAAAATGATTTAAACCAAACGATGCACAACTCAACTGAAACTTAAGATCAAATATGAGATTAAATATGGGTTTGGGGACCATTCTAGATTTTTTTTTTCATTAGCAATGACATTCTTTGAGGAGGAAGACCCCTCCGATTGACACTCCAACTTAAAAGGAAATGGAGAAAAAAAATTACAAAATATCGTGGCGACATTATGATTTCGATGTCTAGGATTACAAGGGGAGTGTGCTTCTCTTTATCAATCTCTAGTTGTGGTTGTAATTTTGGAGGGTTAACATGTACAATCTTCAATTGCGTGAACATTTGAAGCACCGTGGCTTTCAATTTTGCTGGTTCTTCTACTTGATCACAACATTTCATCCCTTTGTTCAGAAATTCTACACCTAAGGATAGAAATCAAGTGTATGTTAAGAGTATCAAGTCTTTCCAATCAACCTCTTTAATTGACCAAGGCACGTGGTATTTATAGACTTAGGGGTTTCTGTCCCCTTCTTTATATTTGTAACTTTGAAAATGGGGTGTCCAAAGGACTTAAAATTTGGAGGATGAGTTGAAAGTGCCAAAGATTTCAAAAAACGCTAGGCGGCCTGCCTGGCACCCAGCACCTAGGCGGACGCCTAGAACTTCGGGCGCCCTGTGGTGCAAATTCTTAGTTTTTTTTTTATATATTTGCTATCCAAATGCACATATTTGCATATATTTGTGTCAAATTTGTAATTTATTCCATTTGGAATTGAAAATATCGCAAGTTCGCAACATACATTTTTAAAATATCCATATGACATGTCTCAGCCTCTCAGGTAATTGGTTGAGAATAAACTTATTCAAAATTTTGAAACATACAAAACATTTGAAAGTCTAATAGGTTATTGTAAAGTCTCCAACTCTCATATTCTCCATATTCCATATCCATAAAATAAACTATAATAACATCCAAGTCTCAAACTCTCAAAGTCATCAACAAATTGACTTCCAAAACTATACAAAAACCAGTAAACCACACAACGAAATAGTCCAAAAAGCAAAAAGGCAAAAAAATTACAAACCATATAACTAAATAAAAATTGTCCAATTGTCTAAAGCCCAAACCAAGATGGTGCAATGACGTATTAAAGTTATTTCAAAAGAAGAGAGAAGACAATCAGGACATCAATAAGAATCAGAATCACCATCATCATTACTTTCATTTGCATCAGAATTGTGGTCCTCATCATCAGAATCATCACCCTCTTCAACATATTCCTATTCTTCCTGAGATTCTTTTGAATCTGCCTCCTCTTCCTCTATCTTCGTCCGTGAAGTACCAGCAGAAGAAGTTGCTCCAGTGACTCTCCTAGGATCAGAAGCTTTCCCTGAAGCCTCCTCGACCATTTCCCATGTCAAACCCTTACCAAGGAAGGCCTCCTTAATACCAGGGTCACTAACTGGCCAATCTGAAGCATTCTCCATGTCTTTCGAAGAGATAAGGTCCTTCTTTGGCTGGTTTTTCTTCTCCTTGAGCATTTGATTCTTTCTAATAAAAACCAGGTCATTGAGCTTTTTTTGCTCAAGCCTATTTATTCTCTTTGTATGCACCTATAAGGAAAAATAATGCATAAAATAAGTAACTGCTATGAGTCTATGATCTTCTTACCTTTTATGAATCTATATTACAAAATGAACTTATAAACAAAAAAAGCATATAAATTGTAAAATAGTAAAATACCATCTCAAACAAATTCCAATTGCGCTCACAACCAGAAAAGGTAGTTATCAAACTGAAGATTTGTATAGCCATCTTTTGGAGGTTTGGAGCGCTACTCCCATGTTGTCTCCACCATTGGGCTGCAATATGCGGGCAACCTTTATAATTAATTTAGGTATTTAATATTATTATAGCTTGAGAGAAAATTATAAATTTATATTTTATAAAACAAAAGTCAAAAGAATAGTACTTGGTTCGTCTTTGTTTTTCTGTCTTAATGCCATATCGTTCCCAAATGACATCAAAGAACACTTGTACAAAATTAGCTCTTCAGTTGATATCTTATCTTGGATATATAGATCACAAACTAATTTTTCAAGGCACTCATTAAAACCATCCATACTTACCACTTTTGACTCAATATCTGCATAAAAGAATTTGGGGTTCAAGTAGTACCCCGCTACATGCAATAGTCTATGGAGCCGCCTATCCCATTTGTCATTTATAATCTCCCAAATTGGAGCATACTTCGCTGCATCATTGCTCAAATTCTCTGCAATCTCATTCTTAGCCCTTTCCATTGCATCATGTATAAAGCCCAAAGAAGGCTTATCAATATCAACCAAGTGTAAGACTTTCACCAAGGGAACAATACTAATATCGCATGCTTCATCCCACGCCAAAAATATTTTGAAAAAACAATATCTCGTGCTTTCTTTTCTTTGGCATCTCTAGACTACTTACACCTACTCCACTCCTCTGAAGCAAACATAGACCTTAATGCGATTCTCCTCTTATATATGCTTCATAGAGTAAGTTAGGCAGTGGTAAATCTAGTGACCCTAGGCCTCACTAGCACTATCTTTTTTGTAAACTTACGTATCATGCTAAGGGTAAGTATGTGACTATATATGAAGATTGTAACCTCCTTAGTCTTAAAAATGATTCCTTTAATAGTAAGCAATTCACCAATTGCCTCAAGCATAAGATCTACGCAATGTATATTATAACCTCATTAGCCTTAAAAATAATTCCTTTAATAGTAGGCAATTCACCAATTGCCTCAAGCATAAGATCTACACAATGTGTAGCGCAAGGAGTCCAAAATATACGAGGTCTCTTCTGTCGAAGTAAATGACCTGCAGCTAGATTGGGAGCAACATTATCTGTGACCACTTGAATGACAAGTTCCTCCCCAACCTCTTCAATGCCCTTATCAATGAAATAAAATATATAATGTGCATCATGAACATTATTGGAAGCATCGATTGAGTGTAAAAAACTGTACTCGTGGGATAATTTACTAATAAATTCATGTTACTCCACCTCCTATCACTCTACATATCTATTATTAAAGAAACCCTAAATTTAGCCCATCCCTCCTTATGAGTTTTGAGATATTCGTTAGTGTATTCGACTTCTTTCTTTAGTAGTGGTTCTCCAATCTCATAAAGAGTTGGAGCTTTCAAACCTGGCCCAAATTGCCCAATTGCTTCCAATATTGTATGGAAGCTATTCAAGAGAGTAGTATTAAAGAAATGCCTGCATGGTAAAACCACCGAGCAATATATTGAATCACCCTTTTATCTTCCTTTTTAAGCCTAATTTTCAATTGTCACTTGTTTTTTCCCCTTTTTTCCCTTGTTTTTCTCAATTACTGTCTCAGGGCTAGGTGTAAAAAAACTATCTATAGGCCCTCTCATACGAGCATTCTTAAACCTAAAAGTCCTCTTGGTCTTAGAGCTTTGAATACCAATCATAGCTACCTCTTCTTCCCCTTTTTCATCATCTTCTTCAGTGTCAATATTATCATAAAAAAATATGGACTCCTAGCTTTAATTCTGCTATATACATTGTTTTTTGCAACTTTTTTACTCTTTTCAACTTCAATGTACTCCAAAATGTATTTCTTTAAAAGATCAGTGACTTTCTTACATGGGGCAACATCACCTCTACTACTAGCAAGATGTTTCTTAAATCTATTTATACAGACATTAGAAACATGTCCTCAGAAATTGCACATAATTTTATTTCTGTCATTCTTCTCAGGGTTACCACAATATTTTCATCCCGGATCTCCACCCCTAGTAGACCCTATAGAAGACATCTCAAATTGAAAAAATAAAACTCAAATAAAGATTACAGAATGACATTTTTTACCCAATCTCTGATCTTCGATGTTGGTTACCTCAATCGTGCTACGAATCAACTGAAAAGCCTTCTAATACCACCAATAGCATCCTAAAAATAATTTTAATCAGAAAAACAAACTTTTTGTATCCACAAAAAGTACTTTCGATTCTCAAAAATTGCTTTAGATTCTCAGAAATAAGTTTAAGATTGAGGGTTTATTGTTTTTTTTTCACTTTGGGGTTAAAAAATAAACCCCAAAACTTCTTTTATACGAACTTGGGGGTCAAAATGTCTCCCTTTGCCCTTTTGGGTGAAGTTAAAAAAAAAAAACGCCAACTTTCCTAGACGCCTGCTCAGAACTGGGAGCTGGGAGCCTGCCTAGGTGCCCGCCTAGGTACAGCCGCCCGTGTTGGGGCGCTTAGATCGAGGCGTGCGAAAAGTTTTCTTGGGCACCTAGGCGTCGAGTGGACCATTTTTTGGAACATTGGAAGTGCCCTATGAATCTCTTGTTTTCGACTTTCGGTAATTTTTTGAGGTGATATTATATGTTATACAAACCCTAGATCAACACCTTTAAAATGTAAAATCCAACATACAACATTGTAACTCCATCTTGAAAAACCGTAAGTCCAAAATCTATCATTCAAGTTTCACAAATTTATAAATATTGACAAATCTGATAAAAACATACCTTGTGCCCGGAATATCACCAGAATAACACCCTTCTACAGTCGGAATCTCATTGGAATAACACTCAAGTACTCAAGGGTTGAGAGAGATGACGA